GCGCGCGGTCAACGCGATTCGCGCGCGTCTTGTTCGAGCGCGCACGTTGCGCTCGTGGTCGCGCTCTCACGCGGCTCTTTTGTGCGTCATTTTTTTCCCCGGCCTTGAGGGCAGGTTCCCGTTTAGTGCCCCCCTGGGACTGGGGGGGGGGGGGGCCGGGCCCCCCTCCCGCCCGCGGGGGGAACGCCGGCGGAAGATGGCGGAAGATGGCGGAAGACGGCCTCATTTCGGCAGACATGCTTCCGCGCAGCACGGGCGGCCCCAAGATGGTCGGCAAGATGTTCCGAGAGGGCGCGAGTCGCCATCAGGTCGATCCAGGCCGTCCAAGATCGCACCCGGGTGGCCCAGGGAGCTAACAGGACGCTTCGGGAAGCTTCCGGGTGGCCCTCCCAGAGAGCCCCCAGTGTCAAAATGCATGGTTTTCTTTAGGTCGTTGCACGTTGTCTTGTTTTCGCGCCTTCGGCTTGCCGACGCGCCAAGACATCCCAAGAGGGCCCAAAAACCTCCCAAAGACGGCCTCAAAGGCCCCCAACCAAGAACGCGTCCAGACACTCCAAGACGCCCTCATGACGGCCCAAAAGGCCCCCACGACGGCCTCCGAAGGCTCCAGGAACGGCCAAGAAATACATCCAGAGTAGAAGCAGCAACCAGCATTTCAAGGTCGCCGCCCAAAAAGACCTTCAGGAGGCCCCACGCGGCCTCCAGCAAGCACCAAACATCGCGCCCAGACAGCCCAGGGAGCGCCCAGGGCGTCTCGGGAGGCCTCCGAGAGGCCCCCCCAGAGAACCCCAAGCGTCAACGTGTATGGGTTTTCGCTGAGTTTTTAAAAAGTTTCTCGGATTCCCACGCATTCGGTTCGCCGGCGGTCCAAAACAGCCCACGAGGGCCCAAATACCGCCCCAATTCGGCCTAAGAGGCCTCCAACAGAGCGCTCAGACAGTCCAACATGCTCTCATGACGGCCCCAGACGCCCCCAGACCCCCCAGGGGGGCGCTAAACGGGAACCCCTCCTCAAGGCCGGGGAAAAAGGGTCAGAATTACAAAGGTTCCACGTTCGGGAAAAAAGTCAAACATTTGACACTTCCAATGTCATTCGCCTTGTTTTGTCTCGCAGCCCCCGCAGACGGCCGACGTGGTTAAAAATGACCATCTGAGAAAGTCGAAAGCACGATGCGATCGCCCAAGGGCCCCAATAGTACCCCGAACTGATTGAAAATAATACGGGCGCCCGCAAACATGATAAACATGGTCGACGGAGGCGCCCCCAAGACCACGTCACTCTGCCAAGACAAAAGACATGACAATGGCGTTCGCGCCCGCGCTTTTGCAGGGCGCAGGGCGCCCAACGCGCCCCGAGGGACAGCAAGAGTCGCCGCAGGATGGCCCGGATGAATCCAGAGGAGGTAGACGCGGCCTACAACCTCCACCTCCCCCTCGCGGCCCCCCACATCCCCCTCGCCCCCCCCCGTCCTGCTCCTCCCCCACCTCCTCCTCTTACTCCCCACTCCCCCCCCGTCCTCCCTCCCCCCTCTCATCCTTCCCCCCCCCGTCATCCTTGCGTTCCCCCATGCCCTCCTGTTCAATCCCCGTCGTTATCACCCACTCCTTTTTCCCCCATTCCTCCGGCTTGCCCCCGCGCGCCCCCCCCCCGCCCTGCCCCCATCCCGATCCGCGCGCGGGCGCAGGGGCGTGAGGGTTGGGAGCAAGTACAATGTTCAGATACGACGCGGAGCACGACCTGCGCGCGGGCACAGATATCGCGACGGCTGGGGGCTATATATGACGATGCTAACATGTTAAAATTCGCACAGTGGCACGATCCGCGGCCGGGCACAAGGATCGTAAAGGCCAGGGGTAAGATCGGGCGATGTTCCAATCCGTCGACGGCACGATTTGCGAGCATGCACAAATATCGTGAGGGTTGGGTGTCCTCCAGGCGCCTGCGACACGGCCGCGGGGCCCACGCCGTGGGCGTCCACGTATCATAGCGGAAACGCGCCATGCAACGTTGCGCAATGCAGCGACTCACGTCACGGCGCACTGCGGAGCGCCGCTTCTTGCGCGCATGATGTGTGAGATGTTTTGCGACACGCGCATTGAATATGTGTGGTCAGGCCTTAGGGACGGTATCGGATGCATGCGTTATGACAACGTTGGAACAACTTAAGTGATGGCAATAAAGACACGCGCGCGATGCGTGGGTGGCGGTTGGCCCCATAGTCCAAGTTGGGACGTGCGCACGATAGCGCCATCCTTCGGCGCCACCAAAACAAATTTCAAACACATGCAAAAATAGTTTGTCGGAGCTTCGGTTTTGTTTCCTGGTGGGCGCAAGACCTGATTCCTGGTCGTCATTCGCGGCCCCGATGAGCTCCGTCGGATCGTTCTCGTAGAGAGCCCCCGCGAAGCTGTTGAAAGCTCGGCGTCGGTCTCCAGCTGTTCCTGCGTTGCCCTGATTGGGGCAATCCTTCGCTCGGTGCCCTCGGTCTCCACAGAAAGAGATGTGTCGCGGTCAATGGTCGTCTGGTTCGCCGTCGTGTTCTTCGTGTTGTCCTGCGCAGTGCCCTTGCCTTTGGGCTTACTCTTCGGTTGGTTCCTTTCCTTGCCTTTACCCTTCCTTGGAGGTCCTCCACGGCTGACCGCGCGTCCACGTCCGGCGCCTGGTTGTCCCGGTAGCGCGTCGTAGGCTCCAAGCCCTACCACCGGAAAGAAGCCCCTCGCGTTCTTCACTTCGTTGATGAGTCGACGTGCTTCTTGGAAACGTTCTCGACGCGGCGTAGGCGGTCTCCGTCCAGTCGTCGAAATCTCCGCCTTCATTGGGCAACGCGGCGGCTGCCAGTCCATCCTCGCCTGCTTCTTGTTCAGCTCGTTCTCCTGGGCCCGCGCCCGCGTAGGGGATCAGGTCCTCTGCGGCTGTCATCGCTGTCTCGGTCAGGTCGCTGGCCTCCCCGAAGCCGTCTTTGTAGGCCTCCTCGTAGACCTCCTCCGCGTAGGCCGCCAGCTCATCGGAGTCCTCGAAGATGGCATGAACTCCTCCACGAGCTTTGTAACCTTTTTGTCGATCTCGCGCCGCCAGTTGTTCGTCTGACCACTGCTCTGCCAGCGCCTTCTTCACGTCATTGTACATATAGGAATTGCCGCGTGCCCCTGATGTCGCCAGCACAGCTGCCTGCTCTGATGGATCTAGGCCTGTCCCATCCAAGAGAATTAGTCCCGAGATGAACTCGTGCATAAATCCTGTCGCTGGGATGTCGTCGCATACTGCATGGAGGGCCTTCCCGATCTTGCTCGCGTGGATGTCAAATCTCGAAACCCATCTTTTTTTACCCTCTCCCGGGTTTCGGTCAACTCCTTTCATGAACTCTCTCCACTTCGTAACTGCCTCCTGCATGGTGACCGTACCTCTGATGCCCTTCAGCGCTGATACCACCTGTTCGGCTCCGTCCTCTTTGATCAAGTCCTCTGTTGCGACCTTTTGGCCTCGTGCCACTGCTGTGGGTCCTCACCCATGGCCTGCAGTAGTCGTGGCCCGAGGTATATGCGCTCCTCCTTCTTTGTGCCCAGGACCCACAGTTTGACCTTCTCCTCGAAACTCTCGAGAGTTGATGTTTCCCCATTCCACGTCGGTATTTTTAGGCCGCCTCCATTCTCATTTGCCATCTTGAACTTGGAGATCGACTTGTGAATCTCGAAGTGGGCTGCCACTTCGTCTCGCTACCAATGTCAGTGGAGCGTGCTATTTCACGGATCTCAGCCTTTCGCTTCGAGATGTCCTCACAATCTGAAAGGGTACTGAAGCTATGTCCACGAACGTGTCCTAAAGACGAGTCCAGGATGCTGTCAGGGTCGGCGGAGGGCACGTAGTGGCGGAAGAATGGCGGGATGACGAGAAGAGAAAATAGATACGTTGTTGAATAATCAATACAGGATTTCGCGCCTGGTCCCCCTGAGCTTCGGACCGAGGTGAGATACTGTAAATCACCACACATGCTAGCAAACGGCTCGTGCCAAAGTTGCTATGGACGAATCAGGCAAATAGGCTCATTCACTGAGGGTTGTCTTCCCTCTCTGTTCTTACTGCACCTGTTTCACTGCTCCCCCACTGAAACTGACATGGGGGAGTGGGGGGGGCTTCTGCGACCCAGAAAATCAACGAATCGACACCGAATGTGGAATCACTTCTGATGGGTTTTTCGGGGGGCAGGTTCTAGATGTTGGGGCATATTTGGAAGGGCCGAAAACCATGCCGTGGCATGGCGCTGGAAACAATGACGCCAGCGCTGCAGCGGGAACGCGATTCGGAACGAGGGGAAGCGCGGAAATGAGGTCAACGCTGCAGCGGGAGCACCATTCGGCACGAGCGTAGCCTGACGTAATTAGCATAGCGTGGCGACGCCCCTAAAGTGGGGGGCTTCTGCGACCCAGAAAGTCAACGAATCGACACCGAATGTGGAATCACGTCCGATGGTTTTTTCGGGTGGCACATGTCTAGATGTTGGGGCCGATTTGGAAGGACCGAACACCATGCCGTGGCATGGCGCTGGAAATAATGACGCCAACGCTGCACGGGAGCGCGATTCGGAACGAGCGGAAGAGCGGAACTGAGGCCAGCGCTGGAACGAACGGTAGCTCGAGAATGAGGCCAGCGCTTCAGCGAGAGCAGCATGATGTGAACAAAACCCCAGCGAAACCCCAATCAAAAACTAGTACGCGGAGGGGGGCCAAATATCTCCCGGACGTCACCAGGGGAGAGAGGAGAGTAGTAGTACATTCAAATTGTGTAATTGTGGAGGAGGATGGAGGGGGAGGAGTAGCAGGAGGAGGGGGGGGGGCAAAACTACAGACCTCCCTCGGTCAGGGCTCGGATTGCGCCGCGTGCCCGACCAAATCCGTACCCTACCCCGACGCCCATCGAGTTGCGCAAACTGTCGATCGGCGAGGGTGGGTTCGGATGTCGCCGCCGACCGATGTTTTTTTTTTCTGTCTGCCCTCCTCCCGGCCTCGTGCAGCACGTCGCACCGCCGCCGCGTCGCGCCGCACACCTCTCCCCCCGAGACGACGACGACGACGACGACGACGACGACGACGACAACGACGGTGTGGAGGGCTGGGCGGCATGGAGAGGCGGCTGGCGGGCAGCGCTTCCGATGCGCTCCTGGAGGCCGAGGGGGGCGTAGAGGAGGAGGATCGAAAATCGAGTCGAGGATCGAGAATCGAGGATCGATGAGGAGGAGGAGGACGAGGAGGCGGAGGTGGAGGAGGAGGAGGAGGAGGATCGAGCGGCAAAGAGAAGGATCGAGGGTCGAAGGTCGGCGGCGGCGGCAGCGCTCCACAAGAGTCCAAGTAGGGTCGGACTAGGAAGGACTGGGGGGGATACCCCCACTTGGCGGCGAGCGAGGGGGGAAGTGAGAAGGAGAAGGTCTTCTCAGAACAGAAGGCGGCGGGACTTCTCAGAAACCCTCGCGCCTTGTGAGAAGTTTGCTGTGTCTTCGGGGAAGGCTTAGAAAACCTCTCGTAAGGCTGGGGGACTTCCGAACCTTCTGAGAAGGTCTTCTCCTTCTCACCTCCCGGAGACCTCCCCCCTCGCTCGCCGCCGACCCACATCAGAATGCTCGGCACCTCACGACACGAAGGGGCACTAGCGGCAGCCCCGCGCATGCACAGGGGGCGCCAGTGCACAGCCCATGCCGATGAGGCCCCCAACCATATCGTGCGGAGGGGATGAGCGCAAGGTCCCTCCACCCATCCACGGGTCACCAGCAAGCAGCAGCGATCCCAGAGAAGAAAGCAGGAGCGATTGCCGTGCGGAGCCCGAGACACAGCGCGCGTGCGCCCAGCATCCGCACGCGGACACCAGGCTTCACACACAAGCACACACACAACACACACACACAACACACACAACACACACAACACACACACACACACACGCACACACACACACACACACACACACACACACACGCACACACACCACACACCACACACCACACACAACACACACACACACACGCACACATACACACACAGCCGTGCCCCAAGCAGGGAACACCACACGAGGGGGAGGGGAGGAGAGGCCACAGGCCCCGCGGAGCGGGAAAGGCGATATGAGCGGGGAGGGACTCGCATCGGCGCCAAAGAGCCAAGCTAGCACGGCTGCACTTCCCAGGGGCGCATAGCACTCGCAACGCACGCACAGAAACAAAAACGGACAGTCCAGGGGAGGCAGTATGGCGAAAAGCTTCTCGCGAGCGTGATGAATTCACGCGACTGGACCGCCCACTAAAGGACAGCGCTGCACGACAGAGTGCGGAGGGCTGAGGCACCGACTATGTGGACGCCTCGATCACCCTCGAAGGTCGAGGCGGAGGAGGAAGATCGAGGGTCGAGGGCCGAGGAGGAGGAGGAGGAGGAGGAGGAGGAGGAGGAGGAGGCAGACCCCCCCCCTGGAGGCCGGGGGGCGCCGCCCCCCCCCCCCCGTGCAGCCAAGAGGGGGGGTGCCCCGCTCAGCTGGCTGTGGGGCGGGCTCCTCCTCCTCCTCCTCCTCCTCCTCCTCCTCCTCCTCCTTCATCTCCCATTCCTCCTCGACCCCCTCGACCCTCGATCCTCTTCCTCCCTCCTCCTCCTCCTCCTCCTCCTCCTCCTCCTCCTCCTCCGCTCTCGGTCCTCCAGCTCTTCCTCCTTATTGCGCCGCCCCCTCCTCTTTTCCTTTCCCTTTGCCGACCTTGTGGCTGCGCGATCTCGCCCGCGCTTCCGCCATCGTCTGGGCCACGCGGGCCAGGGGCCCTGAGGCATCGCCGACTTGGCCGAGCGGGCACGAGAGCCCCTCGCCGCAAATCCTCCTCTTCCTTCTTCGATTCTACCCTCGATCCTCCGGTTCCTCCTCCACCTCCTCCTCCTCCTCCTCCTCCCCGAGCCTCGATCCTCCAGTTGTTCCTCTTCCCTCTGTGCTCTCTTATTATTCCTCCTCCTCCTCCTCCTCCTCCTCCTCCTCCTCCTCCTCCTCCTCCTCCTCCTCCTCGAGCCTCCATCCTCGACCCTCCTCCGCCCCTTGGACCCCGGCGGGAGGGGGCGGCGCGGGGTGGGCTCGGGGAGAAGCGCGGGGCGGGGAGAAGAGGCAGCAACGCACATAGTCATACTAACTCACGGCGCACGCCTAAGAAGCATCGACGGGGCTTCTCGGGCCACGGCGGATTTCGGCCACGAGCAAGCCGCCCGACCTAGATCCCGTCGGCGGCGAGTATGGGGGGGAAGTGAGAAGAAACGGGCCTTCTCAGAACGAACGGAAGTCCTCCGGCCTTCTGAACCTGTTTTCTCAGCCTTCCCCGAAAACGCACTCAGAAGGCTAGAGGCCTTCTGAAAGAGGAAAAAAAAACGCCCCGCCGCCTTCTCACTTCCCCCTTTCGCTCGATGCCGATCCTAGGAGCGGCCTGAAAATCGAAGCCTCTCCTGAGCCCCAAAAAGGCCCTTCTCTCTCTTGGTTGTGCTAGAGCAGGGGCCGGCCGTCCCGGCACTCCTATAGGTAGGCCTACCTCGCAATGCTGTCAGAATCCGCGGAATCGCGCTAGCGTTCTGCGAGTGGACTGGGCCACGCAGAGCCTGGCATCACAATGATCTTATCGCCCCAGGGCGCTACAGCCAGAACGGTCACAAACCATGAGCCCCGTCATCAAAGTCTCGTGCTACACCCGATCCGCAACTCGCAGCTCGCTGGCATAGAAACGGACGCTAGACATACCAAAGCGAATCGGGGGGGGTGTTTCTGTACTGCACTCCTCCTTTGGCCCTGGGCGTAGCCTCGGGCGCACCTTCCTGAACAGAAGCCGTCATGAGACACCCCAGCACAAACTCAACCTGGTACCGATGCCCATCGGCATGTCGAATGTGTCCTCTGAGGGCCAGCACCGCAATGCTGGGCCCCTTCGCGCCCTCAAGCCTCCTGCGAGGAACAGTGTTTTCAAACAGGCGACGCACAACAACGATGTGCGTCGAGCATATGTAGCGTGGTGCGCCTGCACCACGCGGAGGACGCGGCCCCCGATGGCCTCATTCACTTGCGGCCTGCTCAGATCAGCAGGTACTCAACCATCTGCGCTTTCAACTGCCCGTGGTCGATGCTCAAGCGAATGCACTCGGCTCGAAGTTCCACCGCGCTCCACGTCCAGCATGGCTTGATCGGCGCCGTCTGCCTGTGCCTGCTCGTCTCGCTCTTCACGAGCGCCAGCTGCTCCTCTACCGGTGGGATCTCCACCGGCTCGGTCTCGTCGCCCTTCACCAGCTCCCAGAGCCCCTACACGAAACCCATCGGCGCCATGTAGATGCGATAGCCAACCCAGGCGGAGAGGAAGGTGATTGCCAGCGTCGACACCAGCATCACAGTGATGGACATCGTCCAGATCTGCTCCATCGCGGCAGGGCTGCCTATGACCAAAACTTCTTGGCTCGTGAGAACCACTTCTGCAGCTGCTTGAACTCCTCCGAGTGGTGTCGCCGCCAGCATCACCCCGAACACCTGCATGCGCCCCGAGGGTGGCGCCCGAAGTGGAGGCGTCGCCAGCAGCTTCAAGAAACTTGGCCCCTCAAGCGGCTTGGTCTGCATGTCTGCCCTGTTCACCTCCGTGTGGATCTTCGCCATGGAGATCGTCCTGCCCCTGCCCTCCTGTTGGACCAAGAGGCAGTTCGTTTCCCGCGTCCGAGACGCGATGCGATGCTGGCCCCCGAGCTGTCCGCGTGGACCTGCAGCGCCATGTCGAACCCCATCTCCAGCAGCACGCTTCTCAGCAAGATGCGCCTCGCCAAACCGTTCACGATGCCATCGAATTCCCCCTCCGCGCTGCTCAGCGCGCCATTGCCTTGCTGGCCGCTCCGGCCGTCGATCAGGCGAGCCCATGGACAGGAGCCTTTCGTCCAAAGATCTCCGGCCAGGCTCCGACGCCCAGTCGCTGTCGACCTCCGCCACGATGACCGCAGGCATCGTCGGGAACTCGAAGAAGAGCTCGAACTGCGGGTGCTTCTCCAGGTAGCTTGCTAGGCGCTGCAGTAGTAACCAATGGTGCCTGGCGGGGTCGGTCATGCCTCTCATGAGGTACCCCGCGGCCTGCTGGACATCGAAGCGGTCGTGGGAGACGTAGAAGGCGGTCGGCAACAAATTGCGGTAGGTGGTCGCGTACTCCGCGCTGAGCTCGTCCGCCGACTCCCTGCGGTCCTTGCCGACGACCTTGGACGAGGGCGTGACCGTCCTCTTCGTGGTGTTCCTCTCGCCGGCCTTCCTGTTGAGCACGGTGCTGACCAAGATCTTAACGCTCTTGCGGTCGCGCTGGATGCCGGACCCTTTCTGGGCGCCACGTAGCCGCCGTTTTGAGGAAGCTCCCTGACTCGACCCCTCCTCGCCTGGGGTTGCCAACCCTCGGCGCCACCTCGACCTTGAGCTGCCCCGCGACCACGATGTCGAGCCAGTCCAGAGATGCCTGCCTTCCTCCAGCCAGGAAGCCGTCGCCGTGAACGATCACCAGCAGCAATCTCTCATTGCGGTAGAGTAGGGCGCGCGCTTCAGCTGGTAGACGATGCCACTGGGCCCCTCGCCGCGAGGCGGAAACGCGCAGAGGCCCCCATCGATGCGCGCGTGGAAGAACGCCACGGACACGTCGTAGAGTGCGAACATGCCGCCGTAGCCGATCCCTGTGGAGTAGACGCTGGAAACGAAGGAAACCACCAGCCAGAATGCTGACAGCGGCGGCAGCCCCGCGAAAGTGTCGCCCCTCGCATGCCAGGCGAACTGCACGGCCACAAATCGCGACCTCACCGACTCCTCGCCGTTCTCGTTGAAACGCTCGTCGTCGACCCACTTCCCGCGGACGCACTCCCCCTTCGCGAGACTCGTCAGCACTCTGCCAAAGACCTGGATATCCTCCATCTGCGCGGGTTCCTCCTCCCTGCCAATCTTCACAAGGGGAGGGTCCAGCCCCATAACAGATCTCGCTCCGGAGACGCCCTGAAACGTCGTCTCGCGGTCGAAGAAGCCATGATTCCTGGTGCCCGAGCCGCTGTCATAGGGAATGGCGTCGCAAGTCAACGCGAGCATCGCCGTCGCCATGTCTTCAAACTACCAGCGATGACCTTCTGCTTCGGCTTGCGACTCACCTCCTCCCGGGCGCCGTCGCACTCCATCTCGACCATGCCCAGCTGCATCCCGTCCCGTTGTGGCTGCCCTGGCGGGTCCTCTTGGATAAGACTTATGCGTGCGCCTGCTTCCAGCCGGCGTCGGCGCGGTCGCCCTCCCTGATCGGCTGAAGCAGCCGGCGGTGGTCCAGGTGCCGCAGCTGGTTGTTCTGCTCCCGGGGCTGGCTGTAGGCCTGGCTGTGCAGGTTTTACCCCTCCAGGTGGTTCTGCAGTTGCCGCCGACGCTGCGGCTCGGTTCGCTGCTCCCTGCTTTTCCTTCGCCTCCTCGGCAATCATGAGGCTCTCGACGCGCTCTCTGCGCGCCTCGATGTTCAGGTGTCCTAGTTTGTGGCATCCATCGCATCCAGGTGTAGGTCCCAGTCGATCGATGACGGCCCTCGTGATGCAACGGCCGTGCGGTGCAGGTGGTGCTGCCTCTGCTCCCGCGCGGGTGTCCCACGGCGTGCGTTCGACCTTGTTGAACAGGCTCTTGGGCCAGCGCTGCCCCTCCAACCGTCTGGCGATGCTCCCCGCCGTCTTCCTGCCAGCAGCGGTCGCCAAGAGGTGCTCGTCAGTGCGGTTGTCCATCCCGGCCCAGATGGCCTTGCACCAGCGGGTCTCCGCCATGTGGTGGGATGCGGTCTGGATAATGTGCATTGCCGCATCGCCGAACTCGCAGATTGAACCTCCGTGGGCGCGGCCCTTCAAGTGCTGACTGGGTGTGAGGCCGCCCTCCTTGACTGGGCACTGCGACAAGATCCATCCAGCGCGCCGAAACATCCAGACCATGATCCGGTGGTCGAGCGTGAGCTCGGCGCTGTGGCGAGACTCGACCGAGGCCCGCAGGGTGCGGAACATGCCCTCAACCATCTTGTTGGCGTTCTCGATGGCTCTTTTGCTCTTGGGGGCCCGCCTGGGCCCACCGCGCGGAGTGGTCTCCTCCTCGCGGGCCAGCTGTGCAGATCGAACCAGCGCCTGGATGGCGGGCTCGCCATCGGCGCCGAGGAGAACAAAGGTCGAGGCCTCACGTGCACATCGCCGCGGTGGTCATCGCCGCGGCACAGTCCACTGGCCCATTCACGATCATCTGCGCGCTCTCGATTGGCACGCCGGGATGTTGAGCACCGTGAGCGGGTCGCCCTCAACGTCTCCCAGGAGCAGGAAATCGATGCACGCCAGCGGGATCACACGGCCGGGACCGGCCAGGCGCGCGCGTGGATCCCCCAGGCCGCGGCCCACGATTCAGAGCAGTCACCGCGCGCGGAAGGGCCAGTGCGTGAGCCGATGCTGATTTCGAACTGCTCGGCTAGCATCACTGGGGCCCCTCGCGCCCTCGCCGCTGCTGCCTCCGCTGAAACTTTACGCAGAGCTCCATCACCAAATTGTCGTCGACCACCTTCGCGCTGATCTCCTTCGTGGTCGGGTTGGTCATGGGCGTCGGCGACGGCGGTGCCGGCGGTGGCGACGGTGGTGCTGATGCCGAGGCTGCGGCTCCAGAATCGGCGTCTCCTTCATCTGAAGGCGTTTCCGAGTTCGACTGCACGGGGTTGACTTGGATCGGCTCGGTGATCTTCTCGACGGGCGCCCTGATCCTGGGCCAGAAGGTCTTCTTGCTCCTGTGCAGCTTGATCTTGCGCCCGTCCGTCTGCAAGATGTAGAGGCCCTTCCTCAGGGTCGGGGCGTCGCCGCTCTCTGTGAAGGCGTCCGCTCGCGATCGCGCGCTCCGCCCGGAACTCGATCTACAGGGGCACTCCGTCGCTCTCCGCCGACGCGATTCTCGCGCTTATGGGCCCGACCTCGTCTCCCGTCGCCGACTCGCGCAGGGGCGAGTTCTTGGGCGGCAGCATCTTGGTCGTGCTCGCAAGCTCCATGGGGCAGGCGGTCAGTCCTGAGCCCGCGTCGAAGAGCGCCCAGTCGAACTCCACCGTCTCGCAGGACTGCCGCGGCAAGCGCGTCGCAGAGCGCGGCGTTGTAGAGCATGCCGCCCTGCCAGATGTACCCCTCAGGCGTCGGAATGTCTTCGCGCTCGACCATGCTGACGTTCGCGACGCGCGTCGCCCGGCAGCGCAGTCGCCGTCGATGCCGTGGACTGCTGGCCCTTGGAGACGTCCGTCAGCGCCGAGACTGTCCTGGGCTTTTTAGCGACAGCCTTCTTCTTGCGGCAGTCCGCTGCGAAGTGGCCTTCGTTCCCGCAGTAGTGGCAACTGCGGGTCTCTCGGCTTAGTTTTTCGCGTCTTCCTGCCCTTGGAGTCGCCATTGCTCTTGCCTTTGCCGCCCTTGCCCTTGCCTTTACCTATGGAGTCACCTATGCCCTTGCCTGCGGCGTCGACCCGCATGGGGGCCGCTCCGTCGCCTCTAGCGCCTGTAGATGCCCGCCTTCGCTGCGCCGAGCATGTCGTCCTGAGCTCCGTCTTCAGGTCGTCGTGCGTCACTGAGCGCAACGCGTTCAAACTGAGGTGGTCTGCCAGCGTCTCGTTCTTGATGCCCGGCAGGATCTCCCATCGCTTCGCGCTGTCTGAAATCACGTCGCCGCTCTGGTCCGTGCACTCCCTGGCCAATTGCTCGAACTCTGCCAGGTCCGCCATCGCTGGATCTGGGAACTCGCAACTGATGATGCGACCCAACATGACCGCGAACCTCTTCGCCTCCTGTGGCGCGAACTCTCGAAGCGGGACCACCGAGCCGCGAGCCCGTCTCCTCGAAGTGCCTTCCTGGCCTCAACCTTCGCCGCGTCCAAGGTCACAGAGGCCGGGATGCAATAGAGCTGCGCGCTCAGCTTCGCGTCGAGCTCGCCCTGCGGCGCCAGGGCGTCGAATGCGAGACGCCCGATGGAATGGGCCCCCCAGTCGGGGGTGGGCCGCGAACGCGCGGGCCTCGACGTCGAACGACCACGTCTTCTACTCCGAAGGCACTCCCGTGAACGCGCGCGGCTTGTTCGGCAGCCTGGCGTCCACCATCTGTCCTCCTCCGAGGACTGCAGCTGACATCTGCCCAGCTGCTAGATCGGGCCCTCCCGCGCCGCTGCTCTCCCATCGCCGGCCGTTGATCCGCCGCGCCCAACCGCGGCCGCAGGTTCTCGTTCTCCGCGAGCACCTCGCGGAGGCGCGTCACCTCGCCCTCCGCGAGCCTCGCGCTCTCCGCGGTCGCCGCCGCGGCAGCGTGACCGAAATAACCAGCGAAATGTGGCTGATCCGTCCTGGGCCACGCTCCGCTACCATCCGCGGAATCGCGCCAGCGTTCTGCGATTGAACTGGGCCACGCAGGGCCTGGCATCATGGCGTTCTCATCACCTCTGGGCGCTCGCGCCAGAACGGTTGCAGGCGATGAAACCCGCCGTCAAACTCTTGCGCGAAGCCCTACCGAAATTCGCAACTGGCATGCGGAGACGAATCGGGGGGGTTCTGCACTGCGCAGACAGGAGCAATGTTCAAATAACAAAACAACATTCTTAGAACATGAGCTCGGATCACTCAGACAAGACAATACCAGCCATAACTATTATCATAACATTCCTTTGCAAACCGCATAAGGGTATTATCAGAGTGAGTGGGCCGAGCGGTCATTCACTGTCCCTGGGTGCGTGGCTGAAGTGGAATTCCGCGGTGCGGATTATCGTTGTTGTTGTTGTTGTTTGTTGTTGTTGTTTGTTGTCGTCCCACCCGCAACCCGCCCCGCGACCCACCCGCGACCCAGCCCGCGACCCACCCCGCGACCCACCCGCGACCCTCCCGCGACCCACCCGCAACCCACCCCGCGACCCCACCCCCGACCCACCCCGCGACCCACCCCGCGACCCACCCCGCGACCCACCCCGCGGCCCGCCCGCGGCCCACCATCGACCCACCCGCGACCCACCCGCGACCCACCCGCGACCCACCCTCGACCCACCCGCGACCCACCCCGCGACCCACCCGCGACCCACCTTCGACCCCAACCGCGCTCAAGGTACAAGCCGCCATTTTCGGCGCCCGCGGCGTGTTTTTTTTTTTTTTTTTTTTTTTTTTTTTTTTTTTTTTTTTTTTTTTTTTTTTTTTTTTTTTTTTTTTTTTTTTTTTCGTTCCTTCCCGGCGGAGAGCCCGCGACACACCCCGTGACCAACTCGCGGCCAACCCGCGACCCGAACCGCGTTCAGGGTACAAACCATATTTTTCGGCGCCTGCGGCGGGCATCTTTTGCATTCGTTTCAGGTGGAGAGCCCGCGGCCCACCCGCGACCGCGCTCAGGGTACAAACCGCATTATTCGGCGCCTGCGGCGGGCATCTTTTGCATTCGTTCCCGGTGGGGAACCCGCGGCCCACCCGCGACCCAAACCGCGTTCAGTGTGCAAACCAATGTTTTGGGCGCCTGCGGCGGGCTGCTTTTGCATTCCTTCCAGGTGGAGGTGGGGGGCCCGCGACCCACCCGCGACCCAAACCACGTTCACTGAACGCACCAATGCCGCGCAAGCGCGGCGGCGGATTATCGCATGCCGTCTGAGCCCGCAAGGACCTCGAGCCCCGCGCATCCACGCCATCCCGCCCAGCAGCTTTGCCCTGGCGAATTGCCTTGATCAGAGAAGGCGGGGAACATAAAGTGGAACAAAGGATTGCGTTGCAGTTGCCTCGGGAAAGGAGGGGGGGGGGGGGGCGGGGCAGGGGGGGTAAACAATGGGCGAGGGGGCGCGGAAGAAGAGAGGATGCAAGGATAATGGGGAGAAACGAAAGAGGAGGAGCAGGATGACGAGGAGGGGGGGAGGGGGGGGAGGAGGGCGAGGAGGGGGGAGGAGGAGGGGGATGATGATGATGATGGACGACAATGGGAAGACGATGATGGAGGCCGATGAGGGGGAGGACGACATTGGGAGGACGACGATGAAAGGACGAGGGGGGGGGGCAGAGGTAGGACGAGGAAGAAGAGGAGGAGGGGGGCGAGGCGGAGGAGGAGGATGACGATGACGATGAGGACGAGGACGATGAACATGAGGATGAGGAGAAAGGAGGAGGAGTAGGAGGAAGGAGAGCGAGCCATCGACAGGGAAGGTGGGGGCCACGAGGTCCGCCGGCTCGACGACGCCCGCGTCGCCCGCGCCCGCCCCCTCACTCTTATCCGCACTTGCGGGGTGCTACGTAACATTCTTTGGCCTACAAGCGAGCGAGGGCGCATCGCCGCTGCTTGGTGCGCGGTTGCCCAGCTGCGCGGCCCGCGCCGCCGCGAGGCGCGCCCGCCCTCGAACCCCCTCGCGCCGCCACCCCGGAGAAGCATGCCCCCCTCCCCAGCTCTGAAAAACCTGGAGGGGGGCGCGAGGGGGGGGTCGGGTCAAGGGTTGCGACTTGCACGTCCCTCTACAGGAGGCCGCAAGGTGGGGTCGCCCAGAAGTCCCCTGAACCATCCCAGGGTAGCGTTTTTTTCGTTGTCTCTGAAACTCCTACGTTTTCACCTTTTGGGGGGCCGTTGGGGGATCGGGCATTCATTGCTAGATGACGCCCGAGGCGTCACAGTACTTGCGAGGAGGAGTACGAGGTGGAGCATAGGAGGAGGATTGTATAGAAGCGATACGAGGAGACGAATCATGACGAGGAGGATGAACCGAGAAGGAGAGAAGTAGGAACACTCCGAGGACGAGGACTCGAAGTGCACGGCAGGGCGCGGCAAGTGCACAAGGAGGCACACGAGGATGAGTAGGGAGGAAAACCATCAGGAGGAGCACGGGGAGGAGGAGGAAGAGGAGGAGGAGGAGGAGGAGGAGGACGCCGAAGGAGACGGAACGGAGCTGGAAGATCAGAGAAGAAGTGCGACGAAAAACGCGGGCGGGGCTGTGCCGAGCCCACCGTCCTCCTATACACTGCGTCGGGGGCTGCGCCGAGCCCTATCCCCGCGTCGGGGGCTGCGCGCGTCGGGGGCTGTGACGAGCCCACCGTTCGTTCGCCCCCCTCGAGAGGCCACGGGAACCAGGTCCGGGGAGATGAGGTTTGACCAGGGTGGGGGAATGCTAACGGTCCAGACGGTCCTCTTCGTCGTCCTTGTGCCCTCCTTTTTCACCTTCCCCTGCCATTGCATGCCCTCGCATCCCTGCCCATGTTCCTCCCCCTGCTCCCCTTTCCTCATTTCCCTCAGCACGTTTACTCCAGCTCCACGCGGTCCTTCCACTAAACACCACACGGCTCCTCCCATCATTACTCTGCCTCTTCCTAACACGCTTCGCCCCCCTTCTTATCGAAGGCCGAGCTTCCAAGATCGAGGGCCCAGGATCCAGAACAAAATCAGGATGAGCACAGGAGGGCCCAGGATCCAGAACAACAAAATAGGATGGGCATGAACGGAGACAGGACGAGGATAATCACGGCCGCGGCCCTGGTCAGAGCCAGGTCGGCCACGGGAGATCGCGGCCAGGTCGGCCGCGGGCGAACGCGCGGGGCACCGCAGACCTTGTGACTCAGTATTCGTGGCTCCTTACTCCTCGCTCGCTTCCTGACCCCATCCCTCCTCCCACCCCTCCTCCTCCTGCTCCGCCTCCTGCTCCTCATCCTCATCCTCATCCTTCTCCTCGTTCTCCTCCTCGCTCGAGTTATTATTGCGGCTGCGGCCCCCCAAAAAAGGAAGGGCGCACTGGAGCTCTGCTGCCTCCTGGGTTCTTCGCTGCTGTTGCTCCTCATATTTCTCCCCCGTCCTCCTCCTCCTCTTCCTCCTTCTCCTCCGTTGCAGGCCCAGTGCGCTCTGCGAAGAGAGCCGCAAGCCTAGGCCCTGCCCTGAAGCGCGAGCTTCATCCTCATGGCGATGGGCGCGAAGACCGCCTTCGCGGCCTGCTCGCCGCCCATGTCCCGGCAGAGCGCCTTGGCAGCCATCGCGTGCCTGCGGAGCTCTGCCTTCTGGATGCTCAAATTGCCGGCCTTGTCCAGGCTGAGGAGCTCCGTGTACAGCGCGCTCAGGTCCGCGCGCAGCTGCATCATCTCGTCCCATTTGAGGGCGAACATCTTCACGGACGCGAACATGTCGTCGTGCTGGCGCAAGACCTGGCCCACCTCCTGGCACTTGGCCTTCAGTACGTCCAGGTGCACGTTCGCGTGGAAGTCGCGAGCCTGCTTCGTCTCGAGCAGCTGCGCCCACTTCACGTCGGCACTCAGGCCATCGTGCCAAGTCGGTGCCGTCGAGCCCTTCATGCCGTAGATATTCTCCGCGTCCTATTCTCCGCGTCCTGCAAGGCATTGAGGCTATTATCCTTCAGGTTCGTGATGAACGCCGTGGCGACCTCCTGCATGGTCTGCACGGAGCGCTCGCACTCGCTGCGACCGAAGTTCGGGTCTCCTCCGCCCCCCTTCCACGTCTGGATCGCACTCTCGAAGGAGGTCAGGACCCGACCGAGCTCCAGCAAGCGAGGCATGCACTGCTCTGACTTGGACCGTGCATCCGCGCCTGGGCCCATCGCCATCACGCACTTGGTCACCTCCATCATGTTGGCGAAGTTCTTTGCTGTAGCCACACTGCCCTCGGCGCACTTGCCACGCTTGATCATGATCTGCTCCGTGCTCGCCTTGAGGAACGGGACCATCCGTCCGACAGCGCTCGTGATGAGGTAGACCGCATCGACGTACTTGCCATCCGTGTCTGAAGACTCTCCTGGGGCTTGCTCGCTGTCCCTCTTGGCCGCCTCGATCATGTGCTGCGGAGCGTGCTTGACCGCATTCGGGATGGAGACGAGGGCTGCCTGGGGAAGGGCCCCCCCTTCCTGGAGCTGGCCCAGCACGTTCTCCAGCCTGACCAACGTCTTGATGTCCTTCGTGGTCTGGTACTCGATGCACATGTCGCTGATATCTGTTACCCTCTTCCCCTGATCGAATGAGCCGATAGCGCGGTTCAACCTCTCGATGTAGCCCCTCAGATCGACCTTATCAACGAACACTTCCCTGGCAATGTAAGCAACTCCTTCAGCTCAATGTTCGTAGTCATGCGATCCGATATGATCGCCCTGGACACTTCTGGGTTCGACTCCTCGCTGTGGCCAGCCTGGGCCTGATAGGTGCTCATCACCCGCGTCCAGAGCAAGTCCCTGGCCCGACTGCAGGAGCCCTTGGGCATGCACTGCTCCCAGCCCAACAGCTTGGCGCAGACGTTCGTCAACGCTGAAGGCGTCTCGCGCTCGCCATTCTTCGCTGCGGGCTCCATCTTGTTCAGCATGGCCTTCGCCTCCTGGTAGTGCTCGTCGTACTTCGCGTTCGGCTTGACGTATTCTGCGGGCAAGGTCTGCGCGCGATGACAATTGGCCAGCGACGGCGCGATCACGGAGAAGAAGTCGTCGGCCAGAGCGTTAGCAGCTGACGACTGGATCTGTTGAAGAAGGCGCCGAGGGCCCTCGACGTCGGCACCGACAGCGTACGAATCCACGATGAAGTCCACACATTCATGAAGAAGAGACACCTGGATACTGAAGTCCACCACCCAGTCCTCCAGCTGCAAGTCCTCTGGCAAACTGAACACCTTCTTCGCTTCGACGCCCACCTCCCTGAGCCTACGATCCCCCTCAGCGCTGTTCATGCACATGAGCTTGATGATGGCCTCACCGAGGTACTCCTCCTTTGCGAAGTCGTAGTAAGCCGTCTTCCCAACTTGCTTCGCGATCGCGTGGTACGACGGGTTGAGCATGTCGACGGTGTGCTTCTTGTTGTTGCCGATCGGGTCGAGTACGCAGACGAGCTCGGTCCACGTGGGATCGCTGTTTGAGGAGAGCCGCAGCGTCAAGTCAGGCAAAGACTGGAACTTCCTCAATGTTAGACCCTGCTTCGTCTCGGGCAGCCGCACTGGTTGCGGTCTGACTTGCTCCAGCTTGTCGATCAGGGTCCTCAGCGCGCCGTCGGACATGAGATGGGCTTGCGACGGTGAAAGCTTCAGGCTGTTGTTGAACAAATCGATGTGCTTCTCAAGCCTGTCGGCATCCGTGGTTTTGCCCTCCCTTGCGCGGCAAAGCTTGGCCTGGCCGACCTCCTTGGACACGGTGTTGCCACCTGCGCCCTGCGCCAAGTCGAGGGCTTTTATCCAGTACTTCGGGGTCTTGACGTAGTAGCCTCCAGCCATCTTCTTCAAAGTGCCATCCTTCTCTCTGGCCTTGATCGCAGCAAGTTCATCCCATAGGGCAGGAAGACTTGGCGACGGCAGTCGGTCTTTCGAACCCGATGCGGACGCCTTCGATACGGACTTCGGCTGATCACTCAATCGAGAAGAATCCCGCTGGGAGCCAGGGGTGCTTGGCGGAGCCGCGGTCGAAGCAGCAGCTCCAGGAGACCCTTCGCAGCCTTCATAATCAGAACCGTCGCCATGGAAGCTCGCGTCGTCACCATCACCTTTTTTAGTTGACTTGCCTTTCTCAGTAGACCTCTTATTAGTCAGCTCGTCGCGCTTCTGCCTGATGGTCCTGCTGCGTATTTCAAGCGGATTTCACGTCTTCAAACCACTCGGCATTCGCATGTTGCCGCCTCCGAAGTCATCGATGTCGAAGGCCCGCTTGACGTTCGGCGCGATCTGCACGTCGTTCGCGTTCTCACGCGAATCCATCACTGGAATACCCCTCTTCACGGCGATGTCGGCGTAGAAGTAAATCTTCTGCGGCGCCCCCTCGACGGCCACAGGGCAACCGGGCGCAACCTCAATACCGTTCTTGCCCAGGAGCTCCACAGGGTTCATCCCGAGACACTTCGGAGTGACCCCGCTGCAACGCCACTTGATCACCTGTTCGGTCGCAAGCTCGGCCTCCTGCTCGATGCGGCAACCGACGTGGGCGACCTTGCTGACGCCCTGCTCCATCGTCTCCCTCTTCCGTTTGCCAGCTGCCACCTCCATGGCCTTATCGCGCACATGGTGGAAGTCAGGTACGTCCTTGCCCAAGTCGAGGAACTGTTGCCAGGTCGTCCACGGGGAGAGGACCTCCTTCTGCTTGTAGATTTCCTCGCACGCATTCTGCGACCCGCGCGGGTCGAGAGACTGGATCTTGAAGGGGCGGTCCTTGGGGGGTCGGACATAAACTCCCCACAAGCTGCCCCCCCCCCCCCCCCCCCCCTCCTAGGGTTCACATCGGTGCGAAACCTTGTCGTTGGCTCAAGTAAGATTTGGCATCGCATCTATCAAAAAAAAAACTCGCACCCCTCCTACCCACCCTCCTTCCCCCCTGCCTCTCTCACCTCTCAAAGTCCTCATTGCCTCATCGTGCGTCTGAGCACGGCCTATCTTCTCACTGTGTCGTTCCCTTCTTTTCTAGCTCCTCGCTCCCTCCCGGAGCTCATGAGTAAAACCTGAGATCCAAGGGGTCCTGGAGGCCCTGAGGTCACATTTATGCGGGTGCGAATGTACACCTTTCGCCGCGTATCGTGCAAGAGTGCTTGATGCGTGCTGTATACGTTCCTGCGTATGCAAATGTACATGCGTGGTCCTCCCTGAGCCAAGGGTTGTAACGGGGGTTCAGCGATTGGCATGGATGGGGATGGATAGGTTCGGGGGTCGGGGATGTTTACTCAAACATTGTCCTTGGAGCAAATGCGGCGCTTGGCGCAGAAGCAGAGGCGATCGCCGAGAGGCCGTTGCTGAGACGGATCGGTCTGCGCTTTCTGGTCCGCCTTGGGCTCCTTCTGCCCCTTCTTGCCACCAATTGTTGGAAAACGCAAGGTGGTCTTGGCTCCTTGCTGGGCAGAAGTCTCGATCATAAAGCCTTCCAGCCTTAGAGCCAACATCAGCTGAGGAACGGATCCAAATCAAAGCGTCACCACGCAGTGGGTCGGCGCCCACCCCCCACCCCCCTCCCCTCGAAAAAAAAGCCGGGATATACTTGTTGCCAGCTTCTTGGGCGCCCCAGGACACGTCGGATTGCCACCCATGCCCCCCCTTCCCGCGCAGACACTGGAATTGTCCGACCTGCGAACGCTTGGGGACCCCAACAGAGAGGAGGGATGCAGTGAGGTAGACTACACGCGGTTAGGTTCAATGAAGGTTTCCAGTGGCTCTACCAGCCCCACCCCCATCCCCCAGATGTGAAACGGCACAGCCTCGAAAGCATTTCGCCCCCCGAACAGCGAGTTCATCGCACAGGGGCGCGACGCCAAAAAGTCAGGCTGCAACATCTATCTACTTGGCGGGGCTGCGTCCCTTCAATTTCGGAAGCCACACTCTGCGCGGTCGCTTTATGAGACGTTGCCGAGAGGGCCGGTGGTGGCACGCACATGGCCCTTCGGCTCACTCTGTCGATGGACCATCTGCATGACAACAGCGGCCCTGATTTGGAATCCAGCCAGGAGGCTTCGGCTTGGGCGGCGTCGCGACTTTCTCTGGATCTGGGATCTCCCACGGGTCGACCTTCTCCTTGGGGCAGCTGGACTTGTCGGATGCGATGTAGCCGTCGTCGCTGCCGTCGATCACAATGCTGTGCACGATAGCGCGGCTCGCCTACCAGAAGATCGGACCGTCCTCCACTCGCACTTGAAGGTCTCCCCGATGCGCCGACTGTGACTAGGAGGAGCGCCCTTCATGGCCGGCCAAGAAACTTTGATATCCACAAGGTGTTCCCCAACACCCTGGTGATACACCACTTGGGCCAATCAAATCGGTGCCGGATCAGTCGCGCAGGAATGAGAGGATCCAACATTTCAGCGCATGGTTGGATCGGGTCACCCAGGGTGGCACGTGCCCCCCTGGAGCCAATTGAGCATTTGACCATTGGGCCTCTAGTGAGATTGCTCGTCTGAGGCCCCAATGACCTGAAGATGCCATGAGGTTATATATATATGTATTATTTGGTTCTCTCTCTTTTTTTCTACCAGCGAATGGAGCCCCATGGGGCCCCAAAGAGACCTCATGAAAGGGCGCATGTGGATCGCCATGGGGCTTCTTGGGCCAATGTGGATTGGGCCCTGGGGGTGCTATGGTTACGTAGGGTTTGGCTTGGGCGTTATGTTATTTCTTCAGCTCCTGTTTGCAGGGCCCCATGGCCTACCAACCACTACTTCGCCCGCAGCTGCGTGGGCCCCCCCCCCCACCCGATGCATGTTTCCGATATCTCAAAAAGCTGGCGCCCTGAACGAAAAGGAAGAGGGGGGGGTGCTTCGGGCACGCGGCCGAGCCTCGCTTCCATATCCTCGTTCCTCCTCCACCTGGCGGTCGGTTTTTCGGACGCCCCCTGAAAGGCGGTGGAGGGGGGGGGTGCTTAGAGCACGCGGCCAGGCGCTTGGCGGAAAGGGAACCCGCGCTCTGAGACCGACCGCGCGGGGTCGGCGCGGCGCGTTGGACGCCTCCGGGACCTTGGGCGTCTCGCGCGCTGCCTCCCCGAAGGTCTCCGAGAAGACCTTGAACCTCTCCAGCTCTGTCTCGGCCGCGTTGTCTTGGTTTCCTGTAGGTCCCTCGGGATTTTGGAAAGCACTGGTTTCAGAACCTGATGAGGTGCAAGAGCGGACTCGGAACCTGGGGCCTTGACCGAGAGGTGGTTCAAGAGGTGAGACAAAAAACTTCCCAGGCGCTGATTCATTGGTATTGAACGACTACGAGAGGACTTTTGAAAATTGCACCGCGGGGTGATTCAGGTTCGAGGCAATGAACGAGAGGACTGTTGAAAATTGCCCGTTTCGGTGATTCACGCACAAGAGGAGGTTCAAGAGCGAGTCGTGGCCATCTGCGGTAGCCCTGGTTGACCACCAGAGCGTGATTCAGGAGCCCACAGAAAGTGAATCGAAAGCGGCCGATGCCTCAAGAGGTGGTTTCAGAGTCTGGCCCAGAGCGCCCGGAGATCCCAGAGGTGGTTTCTGAGACGCGGCTGGCCTTGCCCTGCCTCGCGGTCGATTGGGCCCCATGGGATTTTCGATAATGTCAAAATTGGGGTGGGGGCCTCCTGGAGCCCTCTTGGGGCCTCCTGAGGCTCTTCAGTGATTAACAACATCCAATGTACTATCGTAATATAACTGGCACAGCGGGCCCAAAGTCGAACCATGCTGTGACACCTGGGGCCTCGCACTATTGCCCACGGCAACATCAGAACTGGGCTGGGAGAGGAGTGGGGCCCGAAGCAGGGGCGAGGAGTAGAAGAGGGGCACTGTCAGCGCAAGGGGAAGTGGGAGGACGACGAACAGGAAAACGTGTGCAGGACGAAAAACTGAAGACCTAGAATTCGAATGCTCATGATTTGCACCAGCTTTGCGTGCCTCAGTGGAGCGCAAACTCAGGCTCTGACTCCTCACCTGTGTGCCGTGGCCGTTCGCATTCAAACAGCCCAGCCAGGCCTCCGTCGTCGCGCAATGCGCTGCGTCCTAGCAGGCGCCTTGCACGAGAAAAGCAGGCGCCATCGCCACATGCGCAGCTTTGCAATCAACGCCTGCCTCAGTCGCAGAAAGAATGAATGCCCCAACGACGCCAAGGCAACGGCCCTGGCCTTCACGACCTGGCAGATTGCTCGGATCGGACATCTTAGTGAGCACGCGCCGCCCGTGCGCTTTATCAGGGCACTTGACTTCGACAAAAATGTTCTTTCTAAGCGCATTGTAGCGCGCAGAAATGCGACTATCTCGAAACCAAAAGGTCCGAGACCCACCGTGCACTAAAGGTGGCACCCAGTCTGGACGAGGGGGAGGAGGTGGAGGAGGAGGTGGGGGATGTGGCGGGTCATCGGCAGGCGGCGGAGCGTGGGCCTCCGCGCCAGCGCCTGGTACATCAGGCGCTTCAGCAGGCAGAGGTACGCCAGCTGCAAATCCACGACCGACAGCCTCAAGCATCTCCTCAGGAGCACGAAGGTCATCACAGCCATCCCCTTCTCCGTGAGGAGCGACGTCGGCGCCAGCTGCATCATCAGGTCGTTCCTCAGGAATGCCGATGTGCATGGCGACGTCGTCGAAGGCCATGTCGCCCCAAAGGGGCTCGTCCTCGTCGTGACCACCCGGGGCAATGTCGATCGCCTCTTCGAGCGTCACGGCCTTGACCTCATCGTCGCTCATGGCAGCCTGCTCGCTGCCCTGTCCCACTGATACCTCTCCGCCATCATCGGCGGCAAGTTCAGGGTCGCCGCCGTGTCCAGTATCAGCGTCGGGGCTTAGCCCCCTCGCCATGGT